GCACGTAGCGTGTGCACAAGTGAATCAGTGGACACAACCTAAGCGTAAACATGTTATTTTCATGTAGACCGACTCATATATCTGGAACATTCGTGACCAACTCGTGTTATTCCGGGACAAGCCGAATAGCGACTCGTGCCCCTCTCGTGGCCATTTTTGCGACCGGGTTCCGTCTTGGCGCAAACGGGCATACCTAAAACAATTGTCAACTCGTTGCGAAATGGTTCACACAAATTTCCCCGTATATTATATAATATAATTCAGATGCAATTTAAAGCAGTTCTGGACATGCGGAATTATACAGTATGTCTGAACACATTTAACTGTGTCTTGGGTATATTTTTAGATACAAGACATATGTAAAATCAAATATTATTTCTGAGGGATTCTTTGAGGAAGAACTTGAAATCATACGCGCATTCTGATTGGTTTCTCGTATTTTCGCACATAACATTCATCGATAGGGGGACGAGTCTTCTTGTAGGTTACGGAAAGGGGCGAGTAGTGACGAATGATATCTGGAAGTATACTAGTATTTATTTATCCTTACTTAAACATATATCATCAGTTATATTGACAAAGATGTTTCAGATCAGGGAGGGGAATGTCACTTACGTCAAACATCATTCAAAAGGTCAGTACGTGTTTTTGTGCATAAGAAACAGTTTGGACAGTGTGTCGCTTCATAAATTGGTCATAAAAACATGTCAGACAGCTTGGACTGCCATACATGACTCATTCTATGACATGTGTGAACATTACGGAAAAGAACCCCAGTAAATACTGATACCTTTTACGTCAAGCATGGGTTGCTGAAGATTTATTCTAACCCGGATCTTCACGGGTATCAATATAAGTGAAAGTTGACACAAGCAACCATACCAGAGACGTAATCACATTTTTCTGTACATTGAGGATATTCTTAGGAAGAAACTCACTTTGGTTTAGGTAGGTACGATAAATATCGTAAACTAGGCTCAGTCCTCTATATTCAAAATATAGCGAAATGCATGTCATAGTATGTTCAGTATATCGATAGTTTAAATAGAGGTGGTATCGTAACTATAAATACAATCAGAAATGAGACAGAAATATAACATGCTACAGTAGATGCATAATTTGTAATAAGTGTATTCAAAACTGTATCAGAGTATTGTAAATAAAAACGACAAAAAAGTCCGATTCCGACTTTATCATGAGCATGTGCTTATGAATCAGTATCTAGTAACACTCTCCATTCACACAATTAATGTTCCTAACTTAAATCCCAAAACATGCACATTTACGATTCCGCATGTGTTTATGAATCATTATCAAATAGCTGTGATAAACGTGTACCAAACATTCTCGAATCCTGTCCCATCAGTGGCACCCGTTACAAACACATGCAAAGGCAAGTCAATTCATCCACCTACAAACACGGCAAAACATGGTTAATTTGGTCACGATAGGGATCATTATTGTCACTGATGCTTCAAATTGAGAAATGTCCTCAACATGTCTGCCATAAAACGTTTTGAAAGCCTTACTGAGGCCCCGAATGTTGTAACCTTGATTACACAACTTCTGAGTGAATGAAATAGAATAAAACCTACAGGCTTGTCAATGTATTCCATTGAATCTAAGGACTGACGTTCACATATACATTCATACTGAACATCACCTTAAAAAGCTTGCATATTTGTGTATCGTTCACTTCCTGCAGGAAGTGTTTGGTTATGAATTTTCTATGCAAACACACAATTGGACAAAAACACACTATTAAAATTGATCAACACGAATTTACTTTATACAATTTATTTTTCCTCATTCTGGGGATCGCGGACGATGGGGCGTGGGTTATTTGTATGTTTATGGAAACGTATATCAGACATTTCCTTAAAATATGAACATATTTGTTCATAACGAAACTGTATAGACAGTTATAAAAATGGTTCAAAACGTAACCCCGATGTACATGCACTGCCTCTCTCTCTCCTCATCATTCTCTCTCTCTCTCTCTTCTCATCACTATCTCTCCCTCCCTCGCCACTATCTCTCCCTCACTCATCACTTTCTCTCTCTCCTCATCACTGTCTCTCCCTCCCTCATCACTGTCTCTCCCTCCCTCACCATTGTCTCTCCCTCCCTCACCACTGTCTCTCCCTCACTCATCACTTTCTCTCTCTCCTCATCACTGTCTCTCCCTCCCTCATCACTGTCTCTCCCTCCCTCACCATTGTCTCTCCCTCCCTCACCATTGTCTCTCCCTCCCTCACCACTGTCTCTCCCTCACTCATCACTTTCTCTCTCTCCTCATCACTTTCTCTCCCTCCCTCATCACTTTCTCTCCCTCCCTCACCACTGTCTCTCCCTCACTCATCACTTTCTCTCTCTCCTCATCACTGTCTCTCCCTCCCTCATCACTGTCTCTCCCTCCCTCACCACTGTCTCTCCCTCCCTCACCATTGTCTCTCCCTCCCTCACCACTGTCTCTCCCTCCCTCACCACTGTCTCTCCCTCCCTCATCACTGTCTCTCCCTCCCTCGTCACTGTCTCTCCCTCCCTCACCACTGTCTCTCCCTCCCTCACCACTGTCTCTCCCTCACTCATCACTTTCTCTCTCTCCTCATCACTGTCTCTCCCTCCCTCATCACTGTCTCTCCCTCCCTCACCATTGTCTCTCCCTCCCTCACCATTGTCTCTCCCTCCCTCACCACTGTCTCTCCCTCACTCATCACTTTCTCTCTCTCCTCATCACTGTCTCTCCCTCCCTCATCACTTTCTCTCCCTCCCTCACCACTGTCTCTCCCTCACTCATCACTTTCTCTCTCTCCTCATCACTGTCTCTCCCTCCCTCATCACTGTCTCTCCCTCCCTCACCACTGTCTCTCCCTCCCTCACCATTGTCTCTCCCTCCCTCACCACTGTCTCTCCCTCCCTCACCACTGTCTCTCCCTCCCTCATCACTGTCTCTCCCTCCCTCACCACTGTCTCTCCCTCCCTCATCACTGTCTCTCCCTCCCTCACCACTGTCTCTCCCTCCCTCACCACTGTCTCTCCCTCCATCACCATTGTCTCTCCCTCCCTCATCACTGTCTCTCCCTCACTCATCACTTTCTCTCTCTCCTCATCACTGTCTCTCCCTCCCTCATCACTTTCTCTCTCTCCTCATCACTGTCTCTCCCTCCCTCACCACTGTCTCTCTCTCCTCATCACTGTCTCTCCCTCCCTCACCACTGTCTCTCCCTCACTCATCACTTTCTCTCTCTCCTCATCACTGTCTCTCCCTCCCTCACCACTGTCTCTCCCTCACTCATCACTTTCTCTCTCTCCTAATCACTGTCTCTCCCTCCCTCATCACTGTCTCTCCCTCCCTCATCACTGTCTCTCCCTCCCTCATCACTGTCTCTCCCTCCCTCATCACTGTCTCTCCCTCCCTCACCACTGTCTCTTCCTCCCTCATCACTGTCTCTCCCTCCCTCATCACTGTCTCTCCCTCCCTCATCACTGTCTCTCCCCCACCTCACCACTGTCTCTCCCTCCCTCACCACTGTCTCTCCCTCCCTCACGACTGTCTCTCCCCACCTCACCACTGTCTCTTCCTTCCTCACCACTGTCTCTCCCCCACCTCACCACTGTCTCTCCCCCGTCTCACCACTGTCTCTCCCCACCTCACCACTGTCTCTTCCTTCCTCACCACTGTCTCTCCCCCACCTCACCACTGTCTCTCCCCCACCTCACCACTGTCTCTCCCCACCTCACCACTATCTCTTCCTCCCTCACCACTGTCTCTCCCCCACCTCACCACTGTCTCTTCCTCTTCACCACTGTCTCTCCCTCCAACACCACTGTCTCTCCCTCCCGCACCACTGTCTCTCCCTCCCTCATCACTGTCTCTCCTTCCCTCATCACTGTCTCTCACTCCCTCATTACTATCTCTCTCTCCTCATCATTGTCTCTCACTCCCTCATCACTTTTTCTCTCTCCTCATCATTGTATCTCTCTCCTCATCATTGTCTCTTCCTCCCTCACCACTGTCTCTCCCTCCCTCATCACTGTCTCTTCCTCCCTCATCACTATCTCTCACTCCCTCATCACTTTCTCGCTCTCCTCATCATTGTATCTCACTCCTCATCACTGTCTCTCACTCCCTCATCATTGTCTCTTCCTCCCTCATCACTCTCTCACTCCCTCATCACTTTCTCTCTCTCCTCTTCATTGAATCTCCCTCCCTCATCACTTTTTCTCTCTCCTCCTCATCACTATCTGTCCCTCCCTCATCACTGTCTCTCTCTCCTCATCACCATATCTCACTCCGTCACCACTGTCGCTCCCTCCCTCATCCCTTTTTCTCTCCCTCCTTTTCACTGTCTCTCTCCTCATAACTGCCTTTCTCTCTCATCATTGTCTCTCCCTCCGTCATTACCTTTTCTCTCTCTCCTCATCACTCTCTCTCCTCACATTTTTTCTCTCTCCTAATCACTGTCTCTCCCTCCCTCATCAGTCTCTCCCTCCCTCAAAACTTTCTCTCTCTCCTCATCACTGTCTCTCTCTCCTCATCACTGTCTCTCCCTCCCTCACCAGTCTCTCCCTCCCTCAACACTTTCTCTCTCCTCATCACTGTCTCTCTCTCCTCATCACTGTCTCTCCCTCCCTCACCAGTCTCTCCCTCCCTCATCACTGTCTCTCTCTCCTCATCACTGTCTCTCTCTCCTCATCACTGTCTCTCTCTCTCCTCATCACTGTCTCTCTCTCTCCTCATCACTGTCTCTCTCTCCTCATCACTGTCTCTCCCTCCCTCACCAGTCTCTCCCTCCCTCATCACTGTCTCTCTCTCCTCATCACTGTCTCTCTCTCCTCATCACTGTCTCTCTCTCTCCTCATCACTGTCTCTCTCTCTCCTCATCACTGTCTCTCTGTCGGTCAATCACTGACTCTCAGTCACTGCATTCCTCACTCATTTAACCACTCCTGATATAACTGAAGTACCATCGTCCAAATATAAAACAAAGATAACATTTTTAACAAAAGAAATGTTTAATTGTTTGAAAGAAAAACGACAACGATACTATCAGTGTTTTAAGCACACGGCTGTCCCACGTCATAGAAGCATCTATGTCGCCCCTGAGCTGGCACAGGCATTGAACGACGTCAGAGACCAGGGCCAGTCAGAGTCAGAAAGAGGTCAGACGTCATGGTTCGTCATGCACAGGTTACTGGATGAGCAGCAGCAGAGAGCTGGCGATCAGGGGAACCAGTGACACAGTTACCTCCCTTCCTGAAACAGTCCGCAATGGCTACCATTAATCACTGTAGGAAAATGCAACTTTTGAAACCAACTTCTTGGAACTCGGAAATATCAAACGTCAACAACATATGGAATTCAACTCGACTATTCTAGCATTGAACACATCGTGGTACGCAGAAATCTTCGGGCATTGGTCTCTATAACACTAATATACTGAGTCAAATTAAAAACTTCACATTTTTAAAAGTAATCCCATATATGATATACAACGGAAAAATGTATCAGAGAGGTAATTTTTAATCATTAATGTCGAAAGAAGGATTTTAATTAACGGTGGTAACCATAGTTTGTTCCAAGCACCTACGGTATTCGGTAATAACATCAACAGTTTAAATCATAAGTCCCAAGCACGAGAATCTGATGGCACACAAGTTCAGTAGCGTGTATGGCCACCATGTGCGTTGACAACTGCCACACAACGCCTCCGCATGGATCTTGTGATGCTTGTGAACACATGATTGTGAAGACGACGCCATTGCTGCTGCAAAATAGTGCCTAGATCTTGCAAATTCTATGGTTGGTTCTGGAGAGTGCGCAGTCTTCTGCCAAGAGCATCCCAGACGTGTTCGATGGAATTGAGGTCGGGAGACTTTGACGGCCAGTCCATGACGTTGACTCCCGCATTCTGAAGGAAATTCCTTGTCCAAATTGCTGTGTGGGGTCTGGCATTGTCGTGTTGGAAGATCAAACCGGGTCCATGTGCTGCCATAAAAGGCAGAAGTTCTGGTGCCAGTACCTGGTCGCGGTAAGCAGCAGCGTTGAGGTTGCCACGGATGACAAGAAGCCTGGAACGTGCATTGCCATAGAAAGCACCCAAAACCATGACACTTCCGCCTCGAAATCTGTCAACTTCCTGTACACAACACTGGGCGTAACGTTCATGACGGCGCCTCCACACCCTCGCCCTACCATCAGCAAATCGAAGATTAAATCGGGATTTTCACTGAAGACGACTTGATTCAAATTCCTCTGAGTCCATCGTAAGTGTCGCTGTGCCCACAATTGACGTTGACGTCTGTGTAATTGAGTCAGAATCGGCCCGCCGTCGTGCTTGAAGGTGAGCAGTTCTCAAACGGTTTCGAACAGTTTGCACTCAGTCTACCCCTAAAAAGTTTATTTCTGGTTGATGTAGACGTCAAAAATCGGTTACGGACGTGACGTTAGACGATCTGACGATCCTCTGCATGTGACGTCACACGTGGTCGACCTGGCCGAGGGCGATCAGCGGTGGTACCCGTTTGCTGTAGACGCGTCTGTAAATCATAAACAGTCCGTCGACTACAACCCATCGTCTTTGCGACTTCAGCTACGGACGTTCCCGACTGCAACATGCCGATGGCACGTTCACGTTGCACATTTGAAAGGCGTGGCATGACAAATGGCCGTAAAGACTTTGGTTTTCTTGTGTTTTTCTTTTTTTGTTAATGACTGCTTACAAGTATGGCTGAAAACACGTGCGGTATTATGGCCACGTGACCAGTTGCACGTGAAAAACCATTTGTGCCTTTATAGTGCTGTGCACATGACTTTGATCGATTCACCTGCACAAAAACGGGTGTTATCTGAAGACAATACGTGGCCATTACTGTTTAAATACACAATAAGGGCCCACAATGATAACTGGTCAAAATGTTAAAATTTTAGGATTGTGAAGTTTTTAATTTGGTTCAGTATATATGGTGTTATATGTCACAGCTCACTGCATTAAAGAATAGACGGAAGTAGATTAATTGACAGCCCGAGCCAACACGACGCAAGGAAATAATGTTATCGTTATCAATATATGACTGTGTACATTACATTACAACAAAGGACAAAATAGCAATAGGAACTCGTTTTTTGAGGATGTTTAACAGAAGTGTGTTTGTAAATCACCTGAGTTGATGCAATTGAGTTGATACGATTGAGTGAGCTCAACGCCACTTTTAGCAGCATTCCAGTTTAATCTAGCAGGAGAAGCATGGTCGCCTTTTACGACAAACAAAGTCGCCTTTTACGACAAGCATGGTCGCCTTTTACGACAAGCATAGTCGCCTTTAAGGTGGACTAATAAAGGACTACTGAAAAGAAGTATTGAATTCTTTTAAAAATATTTTGCCCTCCAAGAATACCAACAAACACATCTGGGCAGATATGAGCTCTTCTCTTTCTGCAATGTCAGTCTTGTGGTCATTATATTTATACCAGACGGTGACTTTGACTAATATACGATTTTAGCAATAAAACTGTCTGACGCGTTGGAAATAAAACGACGCAGTGATGCCCGAGAATTATTATATATATATTTGGCCTAACTTACCATCACTGGACGTGGTGTTTGGCGGTGGCGCTGACGTTGCTGCTGGCATTGACGTTGTTGGACTAGGGGTTGCAGGGGTTGTAGTCATATTATTTGCCGTTACCATTGTCTGGCACAGAATAGCTGCAACAACAATCCCAAACATCCATATTGCTTTTGTGGTATCAAATGATGCAGTGTATACAACTGCTATAAAGTACTGGTCTGTATTCTAACTCTCTCACTTATAGTATTTCAGTTGCATCACCAAATGTCAGCTCAATGTGAGAAGACGCCCACAATAAGTGTTGCATCTGTCTGGTTAGACAACGTGTGACAATAGATACATAAGACAAATAGTACAGCGTGAGTCTGCAGAAAGTATGTATCAACATTGAAAAAAGATAATTGACAAATGACTCGGCGTGTCAGCTTAATGTGTGAGGAAAGCCGAGCAGTGATGCAGGTCTCAGACGTGGTGAAATCCCTCGTGAGAGTATGGTACTGACAAACCCCCACAAACATAACTATGGCGAATATCGTATTCGAACGCACAATCATATAGGTGTCTGGCATGTCTGAACCACGTAATTCTAATCAACTCATCCGGCGTCTTCGACGATACATACCCTGTCATCCGATAATTAACAAACAGTGTAAGAGGATGAGGGTTTAAATAGAGATACTTACCCATTGGGAGGCAGGCAAAGAGGACGACCTTCATGTTGATAGCAAGGGCTGGAGTGGAGGAAGTAAAACACCACCCCAGGTTATACCAGTCGATCGTAATGTGTTAAATAAGGAAAAAGAGGAAGGCGTTATTAGTATTCCTTCCTGATTCGCGTTTGGGTGTAAACGTTTGTGGTATGGAAATTTTAAAATTTTCGTCATAATCACAACCATTGTACTCCATATTAGCTATTCGGTTAAACCTGATAGCAATTCAGTACAGTGCTTCGATGAAGTTGGGTTAACAAACACTCAGCGTACACAGGAAACTTCAATGGTCTATGCGGGCGGTGGGATGGCCCAGTGGTTATAGCGTTGGCTCATCACGCCGAAGACCCGGGTTCGATATTGCTAAAAGCAGCGTAAAACCATACTCACTCACTTAATGCTTTTTTGATAAAGTGGATCCCCTCGCCATATGTGCACGTGATTACTGCACACGACGGAGCCACTGCTGGCAATATAATGCAGTTATATTATCGAAACACTTAAATAAATGTTAATTTTGTTTATATGGTAATCGTCCGTTTACTTATGACTGAACATTTAGGAGCGCTAGCGTATGAAACATAGGATACATCTGAACCGTGTCATATACAATTTCAAGGGTATATATGTTCATACTCACTTGGATGCTCTTTTATTTCATGACCTACCTGATATATACACATTTTGCGGCCAAATGCTACGTGCATTTAAAACGTTGATCATAAGGATTTCGGATTAAACGTTCATTTCCTCACATGGATAAATTTGGGAAATACGGTCCCTTCGTGTTGTGGTATTCCAAATAATTTGCGTATGTATGCCTAGTTCGGTAATGCATGAAAACGTTATTGAAATGCACACATTTACGTCAGTGTCCATACCAGTCCCTCATCCCTGAAGGGGGGTTATGTCATACATGTACGGGGGGTAGCGACCTAAACCACATTAATGACATTTAGAGTAATGAGTAAGTTGGAGTAAGTTGGAAATTAACAATTTCGAACTTTCAAACAATCACAAACGTTAGAAATGGAACTTCCTCTTTTTTCAAGGTAGAGAAATTGATAGGAAATTGAAGAGTTTCAATGTTTTACGAGGGTTTGGCACCTATACGTTTGGAATACCGAGAGAAACACGAGCCGAATCAATGAGTTGTGTGTCACTTTTTTTTCCATTTCACGGCCTTAAACCCAAAGAAATACATTTGGTATACACGGACACATATCTAATTTGATCTCTGTACGCTCTCGGTATCCTTGCAGAATCTCGTTAAACAAAGTCCCAGCTCGCTAAGCTAGGGACAAAGGGCGCCTAGTACATTAGTGACGGAGTGAGTGAGTGAATGTGGTTTTACGCCGCTTTTAGCAATATTCCAGCAATATCACGGCGGGGGACACCAGAAATGGGCTACACAATGTACCCATGTCGGGAATCGAACCCGGGTGTTCGGCGTGATGAGCGAACGCTTTAACCACTAGGCTACCCGACCAATGATTTATCTACAGTATCTCAATTATATATCTGGAAAGTGAAGGAGTGAGCGAAGGAGTGAGTGAGTGAGTGAGTTTTAAAGTGAGTGCATGAGAGAGAGAGAGAGAGAGAGTGAGTGAGTGAGTGAGTGAAGGAGTTTGTGAGGGGGGAGTTTGGTTTCACGCCACTTTCAACAGCATCTCAATTATATCTCGGAGTGGCAGGACGTACGTGCGTTACTGAAGAAGTGAGTGGGGTGAGTGAGTGGGTGAAGGAGTGAGTGAAGGACTGAGTGAGGGAAGGAGGGAGGGAGGGAGTTTGGTTTCACGTTGCTTTCAACAGTATCTCAATTATATCTCGGAGTGACAGGACGTACGTGAGTTAGTGAGTAAAGAAGTGAAGAAGTTAAGGAGTGAGTGAGTGAGTGAGTGAAGGGGTGAAGGAATGAGTGAGTGTGTAAAGGAGTGAGTGAGTGAGTGAGTGAGAGAGTGAGTGAAGGAGTGAAGGAGTAAAGGGGAGTGAGTGAGTGAGTGAGTGAAGGAGTTTGTGGCTGAAGGAGTGAGTGAGTGAAGGAGGGAGGGAGGGAGTTTGGTTTCACGCAGTTTTTAACAGTATCTCAATAATATCACGGAGTGTCAGGACATACAGATTTGAGTGAGTCAGTGAGTGAGTGTGATACATGGTTGACCTACAATCAATACAGATTTGCTTTTACGAGAAATCTGATGAATTGAACCAACGAGTACAGTGCTCCTGTCACATGCTATCCATACAGACCCAGGCTTTAGTCAACAACAACGTGACCTACTCGACATAATGTCAAATGAGCCTTGCCAACACCACCCATTCAATAGATAAACCTCAGCAAACCAAAGAGGAATGTCGCATATGTATCTGCATAAGTTTCGACGTTGTTGTCGTCATGGTGTGATGGAGATTTCCTATGATAATTGAAATGTTTATTTACGCTATCCTGCCACCTTTGCCTATCGATCGTATGGTAGGTATCTTGCATTGGGGTCTCATAGTATGTGAGGCACTACGTGTAAGTGAGACATGATGGGAGGTTTCCCTATTGGATAGTGATTCATAAACACATGCTCTCCTGATAAAGTCGGAATGGTACTCTTAACTCTTTCAGCAGAGATTTCTTATAAATATGGAACAGGTTTTGTTGTTTTATTTACATTTAAATTGTCAGACATGCTTGTGTGTTATATTGGGTGTCACATACCATGTTTAGTTTACCCACTGTTTTCCAACTGAACAGCTGGGGCAAAGCTGTCAATTCCTACACGAACCTGACTTTAGTTGTCTTCCATGGGACACACGATCTTTCCCGCCCCATTCGTGACCAACTTGTGTTATTCCGGGACAAGCCGTACAACGACTCGGGCCCCTCTCGTGGCCATTTTTGCGACTGGGTTCCGTCTAGGTGCAAACGGGCATAGCTGAAAGAATTGCCAACTCGTTGCTTAATGATTTACATATAGTTCCCCGACATATGATATATATTCCAGATGCTTTTAAAACACTTCGGGATTTACGGTATTATACAGTATGACTGAACACATTTAACTGTATCTTCGGTATATTTCCCAACATGTGTAAAATAAAAAAATCATTCCTGACGGATTCTTTGACCGAAGTCATACGCGCATTCTGATTGGTTGGTCGTATTTTCGCACACAACATTCATCGATAGGGGGACGAGTCATCTTGCAGGTTACGGAATGTCCCTTGCCCGCTGTTATCGAATTTGTAATATACGACAGCCACTCGATAAATCGCAAAGAACAATGACGAACGAAGCGTGGTTTTTACACGATAAAAAAATGAGCTATCATGATGTCATTTTTGGAGAATCGAAAATGCGCTCGCAACTTGATGACGTCTTTGGACGACGTTAGTTTTGAGAGGCGAATGTCTATTGAGTTGTTCCCAATAGATGTAGCTGGGCTACACAGATAACCGCAGTGGCTGAACGATCACATTCCAAAGTAGAAGAGATATGACAATCGATAATGGAAGAAAAGGTACCGATCATCGACGTGTAAAGTGTGAGAATATCCAGGAAATACCAAACGTAATCCCCCCTGTTCTCTAAACAGACCTGTCCGTCATTGCCGAGGTCAGATTGTATTCTGGGAGTCTCCATTATTTAAATAGGGCTAAATATTTTGCAGAAGTTTGTTCATTTTATAAACGTCCTTAAAGAGGCTGTTCAAAGTGTTGATATCTCACGAAGGAGAGAATGTGTACGGTTTTACGCCGCTTTTAGCAGTATTCCAGCAATATCACGGCACGGGACACTAGAAATTGGCTTTACACATTGTACTCATGTCGGGAATCGAACCTGGGTCTTCTGTGTGACGAGCGAACGCTTTAACCACTAGGCTACCCGACCGCCCCTCTTATAAAAGAAATAAACGACTCGTGGTCGTTGTTTATCGTACAATAAAACACTGCAAGGAGAACTGCTTCGCCCCTTATTGTTTATTGTCCCTGCAGTGTTTTATTGTATTATATGTAACTCCTACTCGTCGTGTATTACCTAACTTAACCGCGACTGTGCTAGTATTTCACAATAACGTATCCCGACGTTTCTTTTATTCTTTTTCGTATTTCGTACATTTTGGTGATTTATATGTAGGATAAAACACTTCTCCCCTCCTTACGTCGGTAATTTTCGGGAATATTCCCACTCCCTCGTGTTTATAATTACATTTTCAAATAGAACCTTCTTCACGTAAAGTCCGGTGAAGCAAACCCCTGTCATTGAAATCATCATGTGCAGTGACACCGCGTCAGGCCAAACTCCGTCAATCTGAAAACCCTGTTTTTTAGACTTTCTAATAAATCCCCCTTCCTGGTAACCTTGTACATATTTAACTAATCGAAGTATACCAACATACTGAATACCAGCATGTCCTCTCTCTATACGCATAAGCAACAGTTCAGTGTCACATACCAATGTGGGGGCACTGGTGGCCCAGTCGTCTAAGGCGCCGCGATTCACTGTGCACGACAGTAACCTATGCTTGTGGGTTTGAATCCCGCTTCGCCCCGATTATGTTTCTAGGTTTGTCAGCACCATACCCGTGTTCGTGGGTATTCACCGAAGTGGTAAACGTCTGAGACCTGCATCACTTCGGGCTTTCCTCACACATTAAGCTGACACGCCGTGATATAACTGGAATACTGTTAACAGCGGCGTTAAACTCACTCACTCACTGTTATGGGAAGTTCTGTTTCACGATTCACAACTTTCAAGACACAAGAATTGGCAAATGTCAACCGCAGCTGATATGCCATCCAGGGTTTACGTCTATTGTTGGATGTCAATTTTGCTTTTATACCTGCAGCAGCATGCAAGATGGGTTGTAGACAGGTCCTAAACTAAAGAGACATATTTCAACCCTAAGCCCTGGGTGCTGATGCTGGTCTCACGACACCACCTACTAGCCTGATCCAAATATTTGCAAATTAACGTGTACTGGGGGTCCATGTGCAATGAAATAAAAGCGACAACGTTATTTCAATAACCTTAATAAATCTCTGCTAAAAGCAGTCTGCTGTACGATTCCGGCTGTGCCACAAGCACCTGTTCATGAATCACTATCAATTAGTGAAGATACCAATTGCTCGTACAAAAGGT